TTTTTTAGAGCCGCTATCTGCTGTGTTGGATGCATGTATGAGAAGCTTGGAAGAATGATGGGCAGGTCATATGAGGAGACAGTACAGATTCTAATAAAGTCCTTAAGATCTGCAGAATCACAGACGCGAATAGAAATTATACACACGTTAGAGAAGGTGATGAATAATTAACAATTTCTAAATTATTTAAAGTATGAAATAAAATATGAAAAACTAAAATATGAATCTATGATGTAACATATTTTATCTGGTCTATAATTAGGTATGTGCCGGAATGGGATCCGCGATAACGAATGTACATAAGGAAATATACAAAGTTTCCAGGCATTATTTAACCGATAGAGTGATGGCGGTGAGATGTGCCGCTGCCAAGGTATTTATTTTTATAAAAGAATGTGGATATATTTCGTTTCTTTTTTTTTGTAATTTGTAACTAAATAATAATATGTTCATATATAGTGTTTATTGGAGATGTTGAATCACGCTCCATTTTTATATACGACTGAAATCGAAAGCGTTGCAACGCTGTGCTTCCGAGCATTTGAAGGTTCAAATTATGAAGTAAGATGTTCCGTTGCTAAATTACTGGGTACCTTAGTGGCAATGACGCAGCTTCCTTTACCGAAAATAAAAAATCCTACGGGTAATTATAACAAAAATATACACAAGAATATACATCTAGTGTATTTTCTATTTTCTAACATGTATATTTTGTATGTTTTTGCTTCCGTAGTTGCACACAATAAAGGTGTTAAGCAGGCGTCACTTGAAGAAGTGTTAAATATTCTTATGTCCGGATTTTTAAGAGGAGGTGTCGGCTTCCTAAAAGGGACGGGTGAGATCATAAAAGGAAGTTCTAGCATAAATAGAGAAGTGCGAGTTGGCGTAACACATGTAAGCAATTATAGATATATTTTCGAATACATTTAACATAAAAATTTATGTAATTGAATAAAGCTTTTATTAATTTTATAAAAAATGTTTATACAGTCATTTTTCAAAAAAGTCAAGCAAAGTTACATAAATTTATATGATTCGTTATTTTTACGATCAAATAAAAAAGTATTTAATTTTGTTGAAAAATAACATTTTCATAATAAAACATTACATTTAATCGCTGTTACAGGCATACGTGGTGTTTGTTCAAATGTTGAGCGGTACTTGGCTAGAACGTAATATCGGCGCGTTAATTGCTCACGTTTTAGATCTGGTTACAAATCCAAAAGCCGCTAGCTCGCACGTCGAGGCAGTATATTCGCGCAAATGTGTGAATTTTATATTACGCGGTACTGTTGGCAAGTTGTTAGGGGAAGGCGCTCAGGCAGCTGCTTGCAAAGAGATAGCGCATATTATCCTGAAGCAAATGAATTCCATCGGTAATAAAAATAATGTTTTACGCATTAATTTGTAATATACATTCGAATAATCTAATTATATATATGATCTCATTAGATTTCAGTCCGGAAAACGCCAAAGATTGCAATCAAGAGACGTTATTCAGTCAGCATTTATTAGTATGCGCATTACAAGAAATGGGCAGCCTGATACTGGGATTGGGTACCACGGCCACGAATTTGTTATCCGATCAGTCTCTTAGTATGTATTTGGTCATTCGAAATATCCCTTGTTTTTTTTTCCATAAAAAGAATCCACGGTTAATTGTGTATTTGTTATAGGTTTGATTGATGCCATAATGGCTGTCTTGGTGCATCCATGTCAAGCAGCTAGACTAGCTGCTTCCTGGTGTTTACGGTGCATATGCGTAGCAGTGCCGAGTCAAATAACGCCTCTGATCGACCGCTGTGTCGACGGAATTGAAAATATGCGTAGCTCGCCAGAAGCTATAGCTGGCTATAGCAGTGCTCTTGCTGCGGTGCTGGGAAGTGTTCGTCTATCACCCTTGGGAGTTCCTCACACTAAGGGAAAGGTACTATATGCCCTATATCCTTATTTATTATACCATTCATGCAGGATTAATTTATCAAGCTTGTGCGTTTCAGATAATTTTCAATACAGCGGAAGAGCTCTTGAGAAGCGCGAGTCAGAACAGTCGTTTGTCTTTAAATCGCACGCATGCAGGATGGCTCTTAATAGGAGCTATAATGACCTTAGGTATAAATAAATACCTTGTACTTAATAAAAATAATATATTATAAACTATATATATAGTATGTATATAATTTGTACATATATATGTAGGCACGGCAGTAGTAAAGGGCTTACTGCCTAGAATGCTACTCTTATGGAGAAATTCTTTCCCGCGCTCGAACAAAGAACTTGAAAGTGAAAAAGCGCGTGGTGACGCTTTCACGTGGCAAGTGACTTTGGAAGGACGTGCCGGTGCATTATCCGCCATGTATAGTTTTTTGCTGCACTGTCCGGAGCTCCTGAACGACGATATTACACGGCGATTACTTACGCCAATAGAGTCTGCTCTGGCAATGCTGACAAAGTATCGATCAATTTTTTAAATAACGTTCTAAATATTTTAACGAATATAATTTCGAATATAATTCTATGATTATATTTTTTTCAGTTTGTCTCCTGTTTTGAAGAATTATGGCCAACAATTGAAAGCTCCTGCGGCTATGGTTCGTTTGCGCTTGTATGAAACGTTATTGCTGCTACCACCGCAAATGTTTGAAGGTAAAAATCTGTATACTATAAATATGAAAGTGGAATATAAAAATCTATATTTTCAATTTGCCTGTATTACTATCTAATATTGCACAGGTTCTTATACTCATCTTCTGAGGATGCTAGTATCGGAGTTTACGCTTACGGATAATCCTGGAAACACGACTACTTCCTTGCTGAGTGTAGTTTGTCATGCTAACGATTCTGTAATTCTCGGTACATGGTTACAAGAAACTGATCATCGCACAATAGAAGATCAAGTTAGTTTCTATATACATATTATATCTATATACATATTTTATATTGCAGCTTTTATCATACGGTATATTTTTTTACACAGTTTTATTTTTCTAAATAACATCTTCAAGTTCAGTTTAATACTTAACGCTTATTTTTTTTTTTTTTTTAATTATAAATTTATTGTGATAGTGTCACTTGTTTACGGCAGACAAACTAATTCTAACTTTATATGTTTACATATAACTTATATTCTTCCTTAATAATAACTAAAAATCCAATATAATTAAACCATACATGTTGTAAAATTTTTTTTATATGTATACTTGTTTTATACATATGCTATTTATGTTTTAATAATTAATATTTTATATAATCTGGCTAACCTGAAATGTAAGAAATATATATACTTTTGGAATTTTTAATTTTATAAGGCATAATTTTTGCGTTAACTTGTAAATACCCTCGTGTTTAGATGGAACCAAACAGAAGGGCAGATTTGGAACATGTGAGTAAAGTGTTCTACAAAGCGTGCCTTTCGTTTCTTTATTTTATTTTTTTTTATATGTAAGAATATTTTACTTGAGTAAATGAAGAAATTTCTTATGAGCGTTTTATCTTTATGTTATTATACCGTTTATCTTTATGTTATTATACCATTTTATTATATTATTATTATATTATTATATTATGTTAATAACTTGTAATATTATATATTATTTAATCATAACAGTATATCCATTCCTGTTATAGTACAACAGTATGTCCCTTCCTTTTTTAATTCTCTATTTTATATGAATATTAGATAATCTCAATTGAATATTTTATTTATACATTACATAGTACATTACATAGTACGTTATATAATGTTTTATTTATGCCAATTTAAAATAATTTATTATTTATTTTAACTAAAAAAATTTACATTTATTTGTATTAATTATTTTATATATATTTTTTTAGATTTTTAGATTTTTTAGATTTATTTTATATATATTTTTTTAGATTTTATGTCATGCAGTTTTATCGTTTTATTCTGACTTATAAATAATGCTTTACTATGATCCACAATATTTTTTTCAGCTTCAACCAAACAGTGCTGCAGGATCTGGAGCATTAGAACATAATACGTGCTGCCTTTACAGACCAATGCCACATGTATGTTTAAATAATTATTCCATATAATACAAATAAAAAAAATTCTTATAAAGTAATTTATAAATATGGAGAAAAATTTTAATATAAATTTTGATATAAATTATATGATTACAGTTTGATATGATTCCTGGTCCTTTGCCGTTGGGTGTAGCGGTGATCGATTTATCAGTCGCATTATTCGGCCAAATATTCCCGCGCGTAGCAAACAAGCACAGGTTACAGATGCTAGATCATTTCAGCGAGTGCATAAAACACACCAAATCTGGAAGACAGGAAGCGATACAAATGAACGTGTTTACGGCTGTACTGAGCGGTTTGAAAGGTCTTAACGAGGCGAAAACAGGTTTCGGACAGGAAGATGTTAAAAAATCCGCCACTAATCTTATCATCAGTACACTGGTCAGCAGCAATCCTATTCTGCGATGGGCGGCAGGCGAAGCGGTTGGTAGAATGGCCCAGGTGATTTCCGACCCCAAGTTTACTGCGGAATTAGCGCAAACTAGTTTCGATCGTTTGAAATCGGCTCGCGACGTGGCTAGCAGAACTGGCCACTCGTTGGCATTAGGCTGTCTTCACAAATATGTCGGCGGAATGGGCTCTAGTCAACATCTCAACACTAGCGTCAGCATTTTACTCGCACTCGCTCAGGATAATTCGTCTCCCGTGGTACAAGTAAGCTACGCATGCCGCCGTTAACAAAATAAAATAATATTTATTTTTACATCGATTCAAACGAGTGAAATTAAAATAAATCTTCAAGGTTTGGGCATTGCACGCTCTGGCTCTGATAGCCGATTCTGGTGGGCCAATGTTCAGGGGATATGTAGAACCTACACTATCCTTGGCGTTGACTCTTCTTCTCAATGTTCCTCACTCTTACATTGATGTGCATCAATGCATTGGAAAGGTTTTGTCGGCTCTCATCACGACGATAGGACCAGAACTGCAAGGTAAATACATAACATGTTTAACTGATTACAGAGTTTTTGGATGTTATTTTTAAGAAAATAATTTAAACAATTGATTTCATAGGGAATACGTCAACGATTTGCATGGCGCGGTCATCATTTTTGTGTGCATGCGCTATTATGCAGGATCATCAGGATCCACTCGTTCAAGCCGAAGCGACTGGCTGCCTTCAACAATTACATCTCTTTGCACCCAGACATGTCAACTTGTCTTCTCTCGTTCCTACATTATGCGTAAGATCTCTTTACATAAGGATACTATTTATTGTGAAATGATTACTTTATTAAATTATTTTTTTTATAGCGTACTCTGTCGAGCAATCACTTGCTTCTGCGTAAAGCTGCAATTTCATGCCTTCGACAGCTCGCTCAACGCGAGGCGAAGGAAGTATGCGAGCACGCGATGACTCTGGCTAACGAAAGAGATACTAATGTAGTAGAGGGTCTTGTTATCACCGAGACTGGTCTCCCGGGAGTGTTATTCAGTATGCTGGATACGGAAACTGATAGTAAATTAATCAAGGATATTCATGATACTTTAACGAGCATGCTACAGATATTAGCAGCCGACAATTTATCTCAATGGTTGTCACTGTGCAAAGACGTTCTCACAATAGCTTCAGGTAACTATTAGGTTCTTTTAAGTAATTGTTGATAGAAAGTCCTTGAGATGAGATATTGCATTTTATACGCGCAGAATCGAGTACGATTGAAGAAGGTAACGCAGCAAACGCGGAAGATAATACCGCCGATAATGAATCAGCGGACGCAGAGGGCGATGACGATCAGGCTGAGTTCCACGCTGACGAGTCCGCTAAACAGCGACCGTCTATCACACCGAGATGGCCAACAAGAGTCTTTGCAGCGCAATGCGTACGGCGCATCGTCGCGGCTTGTGTGAATAATAAGCAGGCGCACTTCGACCTCACCTTGGCCAAAGAAATGCAGCTATCTAAGGGAAAAGGTGTTGATTGAAATTTCAATGTCATCTCTTCATATAGACTTTCCTTGATTTTTAATACTCTCTCTGTTATGGATTTTTAGGAGATTTTCTAGTGTTACATCTGTCGGACTTGGTACGCATGGCATTCATGGCCGCAACGAGTGATTGCGATCCATTGCGACTCGAAGGTCTCAAAACTCTACAAGAGATTATCGATAAATTCGCTAAAGTTCCTGAACCAGAGTTTCCCGGACACTTATTGCTCGAGCAATTTCAGGCACAGGTAAGCAATTTACTCGACTTTTTTTTTTAAGAACTGTATTATTATATTCAATATAAATACATTTAAAGGTTGGAGCTGCTTTAAGACCAGCATTCTCCGCGGAAACACCGTCGCACGTTACAGCTGCAGCCTGCGAAGCTTGCAGCGCATGGATCGGCAGTGGCGTCGCCAGAGATCTCAATGATTTACGAAGGGTGCATCAGCTGCTAGTGTCGTCTTTGGAGAAATTGAGAGAAGGTAACACGCGGCCGCAGCTTTATAACGAGAGCTTATCAACGCTGGAGAGATTGGCGATTCTAAAAGCATGGGCAGAGGTACATTGAATATTGTTTCGCGTATTTAACATAAAAATAATACGAGCAAAGATACGAACTTACAATACTTAAACAAAATACTTAAACAAATAAAAAAGAAAAAAGAAAATAAGAAAAATTAGATGAGTCTCTTTTTAACAGGTATATGTAGTTGCAATGATAAGAGATGGATCCGCTTTGAATAGCAAGGATACAACTAATCGAAACACGAATCAAACCGATGAAACTAACGAGGAGGATTTCGGAGAATTTGAGTTTCAGAGTGAAAGTTTACTAAGTCTTGTCCAACCGGAACTTCTGAGTCTGAGTCAACATTGGCTATCTGCATTGAGAGATCACGCATTGCTTTCTTTGCCGCCAGGTATTATTGGATATTTATATATTTAATATATATATATATATATATATATATATATATATATATATGTAATTTAATTGTTAATACTTTAATTACATTGGTAAATTGGTTTTATATTTATAATTTTATATTAAATTTTATATTGTTAATTAGTTATATATTGTATATTTATATAGATTTTGATATGTTTGATTAATATAAACTCGTCTCTTTTTCTCTCTTTCTCTTTCATACATTATACAGGATTTTTTTATTATAGTTTTTTATATGTTATGTATTCTTTTTTTTTTTTGAGTTAGCTACCTAGATGATTAAAACTATTTTTGTGATATCTTCGTAGAATTTTCCAGCCAGTTGCCACATGATGGTGGTGCCTTTTACACGACAGACACTATGGAATCTGCGCGTCCTCACTATGTAGAATCGTGGGCGCCGATTCTTCATGCTGCGACTCTCTGGCTCAATGCAAGGGGATTCGAAATGGGAGACAGCAACCAAGAAAAAGCGACAACTAATCTTAACAATAACAATAATAATAATAATAATAATAACAACAACAATGATGAAGCCACTACTTCTAAAACTAACACGAACGTTGAACGTTTTCACTTATTATTTGGTAAATATATAAAGCGTCAGATTAGAATACTTAAGTACATATATATATATATATATATATATAATATCAACACATAATTTACATTTTATATAATGCTTTGAATGAATATGTTTTGAAGGTTACTTTTATTTATTATAATTATTATTTGTAGGTATATGTATGGAAGCTTTGTGCAGCCCTCGCTCTTCCGAATCCCCGCAAAATATAAAGACATGTTTAAACGCTTTGTACACTTTGCTTGATTCAACATGGGCACGTAAGGTCTTTATTGCCGATCGCTCTTTGCCTATCGAATTATGTAATGTTCTTCATAGGTACGTTTTTATATATAAGAATATATATATATATCTATTTATCGCATAATATTAATATTGATATATTTGTCGTAAAGATTGCTTTTAACACGAGAGAGTTATGTCATCCAAATGATAGTAATGGAAGTGCTGAAACAAGTGATGAAAGCTGCGCAGGAAGATCTTGCTGCAAAGAAGAAATTGAAACTTAAAGGTATGTGTATTCCGAAATTATTATTTTATTATTATTATCTATATTATTATCTTTATTATCTACAATTGTAATTAATTTTTGCATCACACACATTTATAGAATATGTCGTAACTGTATCTTCTCTCATGAGTAACTAAAATGAGTTGTACACAGTAGAAAAGTCCTTTATCATTTTATGACTTCCATAATAATTAATGAAATAGTAATTTATAAAAATCTGCTAATGGCTGTTTCTTCATGTATCTCTGATTGAACAATACACATACACACACACACACACACACACACACACACATCTCATATACATTATATAATAAAATATATATATATTTTATTTTTTTTTCTTTTTATGATAGATAATGCATCGGCGCATCAAAGAAAACATCGAAACATCAGACTTAGATTTACTAGGCGAAGGAGAAGAGAGTGGCGAGCTTATGCCAGGAAAATCATTGGTGTTTGCTGTTCTGGAAGTATGTCTGTGCCTCCTGGTACGGCAGATACCAGCGCTGAATCCGAATCCCGGTGGTGCCACTGCCATCTTATCCCAAAAAGGATACGTGCCATCTGAGAAGAGTGGCAAGCTGATTGCATCATCCCTCAATATAATGGAATCTCTTCCCACATTATGTTCTCCGCAAGGTATCCTTGCAAAATTCTTATACGTAATTAATGTAATTTAATTTTAATCATCAGTTCTATAATAATTTATCTCGTTTTTTGAAGGAGCAATAGCGATCCTTCCAACACTATTATATCTGGCAACGGGCGTGATACGTGAAACCGCGGTACGTACAGACAACAATAGCACCAAACCCGGTTCGGAAGCACCAGTTCATGCCGCGCTGCACTGTGTCAAGAGTCTCACCAGCAACAAATATGCCCGGGATCACAGGAGTCAGGAGCAATGGACGGGATTACTACGAAGTGCACTTGCCAAGATTATCGATCTAGCCAAAACAGGTGTGTTAATTTTCATTGAAATATTAAAGCCTATCTTTTATTAATCAAATATCAGAAATCAATATGTATCGCGTTTTTCAAGGAAAATTTAAAAAAAATATAAAATATCTATCATAGTGTAATTGAAAAAATTATATGTACTTTTATTTTTATTTTAATGTTATTTGTTTTACATGTTTGTATAGGCAATGACGAAACTAAAATGGATGAGGTAGCGATGATGCTAGGTATCGCAGTATTCGTTCTTCATGCCTCACCGGAAGTAGTGAGTGCTCCAAATCTGCAATTTCCATGCATTAATCACTTCCGACACGCGTTTCAGTCTGAAAATCTAACGGTAAGCTGATGAAAAATGAGAAAAAAATGATAATTATAATTATAAAAGTATTTCTTAGTATCAATCTTGATGATAATTGGATAATTTTGCACCTAGGTGAAGCTGAAATGCGTGCAAACGTTAAGAACGATATTTCTACATCCGGAACGAAACATAAGTACGCCGTACATCCACGCGCTTGCGCCACGATTGGTTGAATATCTGTACAGTGACAAAAGCAAGCAAGTGACAAACGACATGGAACTAACCTTCACATTGGAGTGCATCAGCACGGTGGAAGCTCTGATAGGACTCGCCGATCTCTCTAATCGTAAGTTATAACTAGTTATAACTTCTAAGTCTAAAACTTTTACGATGAAATTATATCTTACAATTAGCTCGTAGAGCTAAATGCAAAATATTAATGCAATATGTGTTACACGCTATACAGGAGATTTGTTACAAGGTGTGTGGATAGTGCGGTCTTCATAATTTAATCTTTTAATATGCTAATTAATTATTAAAAAAAGTTAATAAGTTTCGTAGTAACGTAGTATTTTTTGAATAAATTAAACATACATGTAATAATACATGTTTTATGGAATTACTAGGTATTCAAATGCTGACACTGCTCGTACCGATTTTGATCAATTATCTACTGGAAGGAGATGAACTTCAACGCGCTACGAAATATCAAGCGAGTCTCCACCAACAGAGTTTTCAGTGGCTCAATAAGATCGGACCAAAATATCCACAGGTACAATATCGCAAAAATATTCTTTAGTCTCAAGCGATATGAATGATCTAATAATTGTTTATATCGTTAGGAGTTTAAAACGCTGATGTCTCAGTCCACCGAGCTGAAAATTAAATTGGAGAATGCAGTGAGAACTAATCATCAGCAGGTGCAACGGCACATCCGGTCGATTGATCCTGTAAAACCGCAAATCAAGATATCCGCGCCGTCGATTAAATTAAAAACCGACTTCTCCAACTTCAATTAAAGAGAGAGAAAATGAAAAATCATAATCTCTCACAGATAAAAAACATAACAGATAATTTAGTAAAGCTTTATAAAACTAACGTAAACGTAATTAGAAGTATAGATAATTAGAAGTATCCGATCGTGTTAACGTGATTGACTCTACTCAACAATTATCAACAAGTCGAATTAATTGCTGTTTACAACATCTTAGCATCGTGATAATTATAATCGTGATATTTCATCATTAGAGAATCGTACTCGACTGTACTTAGAAATAAAAGGATTAAAAATTAGCGACACTAGACGATAGATACATGGGATAGGACAAGGTGACGTGAATAAGAAAATTGATGTCGGATCAATTAATCACTACTAAAATGATACTTATCTTGCATTCTCTTCATCCCGTTTTAACTTACTAAGTACAATAACGTTCCTGATTTTCCAGTTATGCTTTTCAAAGAGCAACAAGATAACTCTTTAAATTGTATCTAACCAAATCTTCAAATTGTATGTATATATATATATATGTAGAGATTTAGCAACATAGAGATTATTAATTTATTTAATATTATAAATAAAGATGTTGATATATATTCTCACCTCACAACTTGTGAACGGATTATGAAAAATAACGAGTAATGATTTTACTTTCATGAAAAATGTAATGTTAAATTTAATGACTACAAATGTAATATGCACAAAATAAGTTACATAACATACTAAGTTATATAATATAGATATCTCCGTGCTCATTCACAATTATTAATTCATGATTCAGCAGTTTTATTTTTAAATGGTTCTTAACATAACTGACTGTATAATTAATAGAATTATTTATTAATGAATTACAGCTACTTGAGTTTCCTCGGGAAAAACATTTGCCATAAAACGGAGATTAAAGAAAAGTATAAAATGTAGACTGTTTTAATCAAGAACACATGTGACGTTCTTCTATATATAAGAAGACTGATAAACCGCTACGTTTTTATTTAATTCTTAAGACGTAGAAAGGAAAAGCGTGTAGACGTATTTGTTCGGCGTAGAACCGATAGTAATTGACATAACAACTTCATCGAACAAATCTGATGTAACATATCGAATTGTGCTTTTTTTTATAATCAGATTCTAAGAACAATGATATTTCTTTTCTGACTGCAATGAGATAACTACAAGAGAAGCCTTCGATAAATCAGTACCGTATGTTGCTGGGCATTACAGCAGAATGATCCGTAAAATTAGAACAAAACAATTTTTAGTTCTTTAATCTTTAAACACACTAGATTGTAACCCGATTCGAAACGAAAAATAGGAATAAACTGCGTGAAGTGAGAGATGTATGTAAGTCGAAAACAGAAAACTTAATTCGAAAAATGAAAGACATCGTCTTTCGAGTTTGATGTTAATTGTGTAATTGCGCATTCGCGCGTAGGAAATCCATAACGGATGAATATGTAGATTAGATACAAATGTTTAGATTGCCAATGTTGCAACACGAACGTTGATTGTTGGTGTTTTTACACAGATTAGGACTTTAGTCGTTTCGTAAAATGTCCACCAATGTCGATTGAAAAAAAATTACGAAAAGGAAATAAATAAAAAGAGAAAATCAGAGGGGATTCATCATACGAAATGAATTCCTAAAGATTTCTTCAATTTGTATTGGCTTTCGATTTGCATACACGATTGTCTTTTCATTTAAAGTTCGGCGTGACAAGTATCGCGACGCGCGCGCTTTTTGTGTGTGTGTGTGTGTGTGTGTGTGTGTGTGTGTGTAATAAAATTGATTTTAAATTGTAATAGATCTGGCGTAGCGTATATAAATTTTATAAAGTAGACTGGGACGAATCATTATATGGACATGGAAAGGAAAGAGATTACGTGCTCGATAGAGATGTTCTACTATTTTTATATGATTATTTTAGGGACACGTTGATTGTTTGTAACTTTTAATTGCGTGCCGCGAGAAGAGCACGGCCGTTCATACCGTACATACATATATACATTTATATATTGTATATCTGATCCACCGAACTTCCATGTACGTTTAAGTCGCATTTTATTTTATTGGCAATTTATTGAATCTTCTCCGGCGAATATACAATTACACGTAGCGTTGTATTACATAACTGTTGCAATCGACAGAAATAAAAATAACAGATTAGATAATTATGCTAAATTGTTGCTTCATTGCTTCGTTGACGATAAATCAGTACGAGTGTTTATTTTGGCGCTTATATTTTACAGAATATCGATAAGATATGATAAATCATAACCTTCCGAAATAGATTCTGTTAAGTTAGGTTTGGTTTTCTCCTTTAAAACTGAAGAATACCTATACTTATGATTGTGAGTGTGAACACTTAGTAGATAGGCATACGGCTTGCGTGCGAATATAAAGATAGCGAAAAACATGTTCGGTGCACTCCAGCGCGAGCTATCGTCCAGCAGCTGTCGTCGATCACTCAAAGCCGTAATTTCTCGTTCTCTTTACAACAACGAGATCTCAGCAAAGAAGTTAAACTCAAAGAATTTTTGGATTCAAAAGGATTTCTCTACGCAAGTATACAAAATGGTGAAGGCGAGAAAATACATAGTGGCGAATTATTTCGTGAATGAGCCGAAGCCAACGGATTTCAAATTGGTGGAGGAGGAGCTGCCGCCATTGCAGAATGGAGGTAGGAAAAATAACATAATCATCGTCGTCGTGCTCGTTTTCAATTAGCGCGTCATTATAAATAGGCGAAAATGATTATCCAATTGCGCTTCTGTATCTCTCTCCACGAATATCATTGCTCTGTGAAAAAAATAATATTAAAAAGATAATTTATGATGGAAATTGTCAATAATATATATATGGAAATTGTCATTTATATATGGAAATTGTCAATAAAATACAAAATGGCCATATTCATATATGTGAAAGATACATTTGAAATGATGATATCTTTCATTTATAATTGTATGTATGATTAACAAGTTTAAATAATAACGAGATAATGATTATAACAGTTACAAATTAAATAATAAAGTTAAAAAAATTAATTGATAGTTTTCACGATTTGAACTAGCAAAAATAATCGCACATAATGTTTAGTCTAGATGTATTGTAAGAAATAATAAAATTATCGTCGAAAATGTATTTACTACGATAAAAATTTTTTCGTTCAGTTTTTCTAGGCTGGCATTCATAGTCCGTTCTTATATTTTTAAGATTGTTCTAAGTTTACAGCCATTTTATTTTTCATTTAATTACACAAATTGACACATATATTGTTTTATTCTTGTTTGTGTTTATTGAATACCAAGAAAGATAGAACGATGTTTGTGTCGATTTGTGTAATTAAATGGGAAGCACCTAATGGCTAAAATATAATCTAAAACGATTTTAAATATAAAAATTAATTATAAATATCACTCTAGAATATTCTATATGCTATGATTAACAAATTATTAGCCTGTGACCATAAAAAAATTTATGACATATATTTACATATTTATATTTATATATTTATATATTTTTATATTTATATATTTATATTTATTTATGTCGTTTTATTTATAATTTAACATATATAATATACATGTATTGACCCAACATTGACATCAAGAAAGAAAAAAATTGTAACAGAACTTTACCCTTTGAATCATTAGGTTTCGAGAATATTCAGTATTATTTTTTCCTCCATCTTGTCGGATTTAATTCTAAATTATTAGATTGTATAAATTGTGAACGCTTAATTATTATTATCTGAGATTTTTTTGAGGTACTTTCTATTCTCTATTCCACTAATTATTACGCGATTGCCGTTGATATATAAAAAAGATATCCAATATATTATATTGAGAATATAAAATCTTAATTAGTGTCCATGTAGACAAAGTTTGATCTTGGTTTAATTTATGTTTTATTGTTTTTTAATTTTAAAAATATTTCAATATTAGGTCCATTTTGTATATAATTCATTAAATCATATGCTTTTTCGCGACAAATAAATAAATAAATTTTTTGCGCATAAATTTGAATTAATTTTATTCTTAATGAATATGTATATTTTAAATAGTCAAAAACAAAATTAGCATTAATTAACATTAAAAAGAAAGATATGGCACAAATAATAGTAATTATTAAAGTAAATAATAGTAATTAAATAGTAATTATTAATATAATCAAATATAAATTATTAAATTAAGATACATAAGATCGGATTAATTTTCTTTATTATATCGATATTATATCGATATAAATTTTAATTTTACAGTTATAATAATTAAATTATCCTTCGATCGAATCACACACATTCCTTTCCCGTTTAGAATACCTCGTGGAAGCCGAGTATTTATCCGTGGATCCGTACATGAGAGCGTATGTGCAAAGATTGAAGCTCGGAAGCACCATGATCGGCGGTCAGGTCGCTAAAATCATAGAATCGAAGAATCCAGATTTCCCGGTTGGCAAAAGAGTCATGGGACACCTGGGCTGGAGAACTCACACGATTGTTAATCCGAAGAGTTTCAAAGATGAGACGTTCCAAAATATACCGTACATTGTGCCGGATATGGGCGATTTGCCGTCGTCTCTCGCAATAGGCGTTCTGGGAATGCCAGGGTAAAATCAAACGGGATACTTTCGAAAACATTGTCTTGTTTACAGGCTTTGTCCGTTCCGTAATAGTATTTACATTTTTATCGTCGGAAAAGAGTATAAAATTTAAAAGTAAAAATTTACACTGCGCGAAAATAGAAAGCGAATATGCTTTCCGTTTGTCGTAGCGAAGAATTATACGTAAACTTGGAATTTTAGGTAAATTATAACGCAATTGTAACGCAATTTAAATCGTTTGACGCGATGACGTCAATACGATGACATAGAAACTTGTTTAAGATAAAAACTTATTTTCGCTTTACGAGATACATAGGTCTTTATAAGAAGTTTGTAAGATATAAATTATCCGTATAAAATTCTCTTTCTCTCTCATTTACAGTAACACGGCGTATTTTGGTTTATTGGAATTATGCAAGCCGAAAGCTGGTGAGACGATCGTCATCAGCGGAGCAGCCGGCGCGGTAGGCTCGCACGTGGGTCAGATAGCCAAGAATCTGGGTCTGACTGTCATCGGTATATGCGGCTCCGACGAGAAGTGCAAATGGCTTACCGAGGAAATTGGTTTCGATCATGTCATCAATTACAAGACCATGTCGGTCGCGCATAGTCTACGCAAAGCCGCTCCGCAAGGCATCGATTGCTATTTCGACAATGTGCGGATAAGATTGTATCTTATTTCGATCAATTAACAACTATATAGAAATTATCCATTTAATTACATATAAAGAAAGAGCCTAATGGAAGTCAGGCGTGATTAATAACGCGTTGATTCACTTCAAATTTAATAATCCGTTGAAATTAGGCGAGTTAGATTTTGACTCAATTTTCAATCATCTCTCTCCTCTCTTTTTCGCTCTCTTTTCAGTAAGATATAAATATTGGCCTTCCTTTGTTTCAATTTTAAGAGCTCATTGTTTTAATTTTGAGAATTTTTATCTACTTAAATTTTTAATCTGTTATTTTTAAATAACGTTTTTTTATCTTCTCTGGGCTGAATTTTTCTCAGCAAAAGCATCGAGGATGATCGCTTACTACAATTTTCAAAATTTTCACGTTATAGTCAATTCTATTGAAAAAGCTGTTTGGAATTGAATGAAAAATATAATAACTAATAACTAATAACTAAAAATACAATTATATGTAACTAACGAGACTTAATTTATATTAATTGATTTAGCGTTATGTTAAAATATAATAATTATCGAGATTTAAGATTTACGTTAATTAACTTTGCAGGTCGGTGGAGAAATTTCTAGCACGATCATATATCAGATGAGACCATTCGGCCGAGTATCCTTGTGCGGTAGCATCTCGAGTTATAATGCAGATCCCTCATCCTTGCCTAAATGTACGCTTCTGCAACCCGCAGTGGTGTTCAATCAGCTAAAGATCGAAGGTTTCATCGTTACACGCTGGCTGGATCGCTGGCAGGAGGGGATTGAATATAATAGCCGTCTGATACGCGAAGGCAAGCTTCATTATCGCGAGACTGTAACCAAGGGCTTCAAGAATATGTTCGATGCATTCGTTGGTATGCTGAACGGCAAGAACTTTGGCAAGGCCATTGTCCAGGTGTAGATCAAGTTTAATCGTGGATTCATCACAAATATTTTTGTTCGATCATAATTCCACAACTGCAGTTACAATGTCTCTCTTAAAAGATTGGAAGAATGAACATTTAATTTTATACTTTGCTTCGTTAAGTTCCTCCTTAACATTCCTAAATTTTTATTTTTATTTTTAACATTTTTGTAATATTATTTAATTAGATAAAACATTCAAAAAGTTAAAATTAATTAAGCATAACGATTATTTCTAAAAATGAAATATAATCGAGAAGATTGTTTATTTTTATTCTACTCGCTGTGTAGTAAATTATATTATTAAATGTTATATTAAATATTTTGTGCAGTCTAACAGAAAAAAATAGAAAAAGGTGTAGGAGCACTATATATTGATATTTAAGTAATTTTTTATGTAACACAATGTACACAATGAAAATAAAGTTCTTTCAGTAAAAGATATTTTTATAAAATCTTTATATTTTTCTTTTCTCTGAAAATAATTCCAAGTAGTTTATACAAAATTAGAAATAAAATAAAAATACATTAAAAAATTATATTATAAATTATTTAAATTAAAAAAAATATTATATTTATATAATATATATTTATGTATTGTATTATTATATAATTATTACAAAATTATTATTAAATTTATATATCTAACATTATATATCTAATATAAATAAATTTAATATTAAGTAATATATAAACTTATTGCATTAAACTTATTTATATTAATAAGTAATTCTAATTATTATACAATACAAAAAATTTCAGCGAGCCGAAAAACGCAATTAAAAAATATCAAAAACAACAAAAAAAATGGATAAAAGCGCGAACTACCTAATTGACAGTCGATAATTCGAGTTCGGAATTCGCACGTTTTTTTTACACGAGCGACGGAGCGGCGGAGCTTGATACACCGCGGCATTGTTTGGTCATCACTCTCGAAAATGGCGGCCGTACTGGACGAGGTCGGCAAATCCGCCGAGAAACTCGTGGACGAGGAAAAGGACGAGATCGTCGACGGGGAAGACAAATCCGGAGCGGCGGAGGCTTCGAAGAAGAAAAAGAAGAAGAAAAAGAAGAAGAAGGCCGGTGCGTTCTGTTCGAGTGACGTGTTTCCGCTTAAGTGACTATCCGGGTGTCACACCTTGCGATTCTTTGCGACACGCGGTTTCCCCGGTTCGGACGGGCCTCCTTATTTCCGCCACGATAAAATCGCGTATTCACTCGCTTTTAAACGATCCAAATGCATTCGGTGTTTTTCGCGAGTAGATTAAATTAGCGCGTCAAGAAATATGTACTCGTTACTTGGTCTTCGAAACAGAGCTTTGGAAGTTTTTTAGGCGCAAAAGAACTGCTTCCGTGTCTCGAATATAACGACGCAATGTGGAAATATTTTGTATTAATGCAAAACTTTGATAATTACGAAATATTGAAAGCCCGATTCCTTTCTGTATGTCATGAAATTTTTTATAAATCTGAATAACACATTTATATAGAGTATAATGTACATTTATAAGATTATCTTCATTTGGTAATATCAGGACAAAGTGCACTGGCAAACAGATGGATACTTTTATTTATTATATTTTAAATTTGTACTTTTAAATTTTATATTTGACAATGTGATAGCGAAATCACTTTTACTTGTTAACCTATGTAAGAAAAACTTCAAATTACATTTCCTGACTATTAATGGCTTATTATATTTATATTTATAAATCGTTGATTTTATTGTCACAATGAAAACGATTTAATTATAAGTTTACAAGAAATATTTGCCACTGTATATATTTGATTTGTAATATTTCAATAAGCATTTCAAAATATAGATTGGCTTATTGCTGTTTTTCGTTTATTTCTTTATATTTTAAATATATTCATTTTCTGGTAAATTCATTTTTCTATTACAAAAAAATGGGCATGAATGGAAAAACAATAGAAAGATGCTTAACAATAAATATCTTAAGTAAAGTTGAAAGTAGCAAATATAAAACAGGTCACATGATGTTTGAATATTGCAAACAAGGAGGAAGAATAAATGTTCTTTATCTCTAATTTCTACTTGCTATTCTTGCTTCTAAATATCTAATTAAAACTTTTGAATGTTATAAACTTTATATATATCAAGTTATATAGTCAAGTTTTATAAAATACTGACTACTATATATTGTTTATGCAGGTGCTGGAGAAGCTAGTGCAGATGTACCAGAAGGGGAAGAAGATAAGGCTAAGGATGACGCCGAAGGTCTCGCAGGAGATATTGTCAAAGGCATTGCTGAAGGTATCGCCGAAGGTATTGCCGAAGGCATTGCCGAAGGCATTGCCGAAGGTATCGCCGAAGGTATTTTCTAGTTCTGTATTTTTGCAATTATATTTACCGACTAAAATTTGATATTAACAATTAAAATGGCTTTAGATAACAAATTACTAATACGAAATTTTTAGGCATTGCAGATGTGATTGCTGAAAATGAAGAAGCCAAAAAGAAAAAAAGAAGAAGCGCAAACCCAAAGACAAGGGTGGCGTTAAGCAGCAGACAGATCCGCCGACTATTGCCGTGTCGGAATTATTTCCGGATGGTAATTTTCCAGTCGGGCAAGTAATGATTCATGGATCCGCCGGAATAGACGATAGGATGGCGAAAATGCGCTTCACGAGCGAAGAGGCGCGTGCTCTCGACAGAATGCATAATGATATTTACAATGAAGCTAGACAGGCAGCCGAGGCACATCGGCAAACTAGGAAGCATATTATGAAATGGGTACGTATATACAATGTTAACAAGAACAGATCCGGGCATCAATAAAAATATTTTCTCATTCTGTTTTTTCCAGAATTGTATAACAAGTTTCGTATACTGCAATTAAAAAAATTATCTGTGTCTATTGATAACTTAACGACATATATTTCATTTATGTCGTTTTATTTACATAATTTATTACATGTAACACACGATAGATCTATATCAAGATAGATAAAAAAAATGTATAACAAATTTAGCATAAATCTGTAGTATCAAAGATGCAACTTTTTTTTTTCAATTTTTAAACACATATAATAAAGTATAAATAATTATACCATATAAATATTAAACGATTCTTGTAAATATATTTTTAATAAATCTTGCAGATTAAACCGGGAATGACTATGATAGAGATTTGTAACGAGCTGGAGGAGACCGCTCGAAAATTGATAGGGGAGGATGGTCTACTGGCTGGATTAGCATTCCCAACCGGTTGTTCCCGCAATCATTGTGCGGCTCACTACACTCCGAACGCCGGCGATCCGACTGTCCTTGAATACGATGATGTCACCAAAATTGACTTTGGGACTCACATCAATGGACGTATTATCGACTGCGCGTTCACTTTGACATTTAATCCCAAATACGACAAGCTGATCGAAGCTGTACGTGATGCTACCAATACTGGTATCAAGGCTGCTGGTATTGATGTGCAATTGTGCGACGTTGGTGCTGCTATTCAGGAAGTTATGGAATCCTATGAAGTCGAGCTGGACGGCAAGACGTATCCGGTATGAAATATAAAATATAAAAGAATGCAAAACGTCATTCGATTTCGCTGTGTTTAATTTTCTTATTTAGATTTATTTTTGAGAGAGAGAGAGAAAGAGATTGAATAACTCTCTCACTTACTTTTAAATCAAATTTCTAAAATATACGACGAAAATCTTAATTTAATTTTAAATGTGAATAAACTTTAGTGGATAAATTTTAATTTAATTACAAAAATTTAATGTCGAAAACATAAATTAATAGACGCAAAAATAATGATGAAATGCAAAAAATTTCATTAATAATCCAGATTTTTCATAGGTGAAATCAATTAGGAATCTGAATGGCCATTCGATTTCGCCCTATCGCATACACGCCGGGAAAACAGTGCCAATTGTCAGAGGCGGCGAGGCGATTCGAATGGAAGAAAACGAGTTCTACGCGATTGAAACTTTTGGATCTACCGGCCGAGGCGTGGTTCATGATGACATGGAGTGCTCGCATTACATGAAGAGTTTCGATGCCGGTTTCGTGCCATTGAGACTGCAAAGCAGCAAATCTCTTCTCAACACTATCAACAAGCATTTTGGTAAGAGTTCAAAAAGATATTTGATTGTTTAAAAAAAAAGGGGTAAACGAAGTAAAAAGTTAACAGCGTTAATCCTCGCGCTCGAACATCATCATTTTACAAATGTCCGCGTTTTAGGTACTTTGGCTTTCTGTAAGCGTTGGTTGGACCGCGTCGGTTGCACCAAATATCAAATGGCGCTGAAAGATCTTTGTGAGAAAGGGGCAGTGGAAGCGTATCCGCCGTTGGTCGACGTCAAGGGCTGTTACACTGCTCAGTTCGAGCACACGCTCGTTTTACGTCCCACATGTAAAGAAGTCATTTCCCGCGGTGACGATTACTAAATCGGCCGTTGTTTCACAAGAATTATTATCAGATGTCACAAGCTATGTATTGTAATCTCGATGTAACATCATTGTCAAAGTATCGCGTATTCGCCCATTCGATCCACAGTGCGCGACGCGTTAAAAGTAATCATTGTAAGCGACGTTAGCGACGTGGCATTTCTGAATGTGATGTACTGTACGTAACTTCGTCTTTTTTCTCGATCATAAAGAAACATCGGCACAGCGACAAAAATGGGTGCTGGTTAACACCCATTTATTAACTTACAACATTTCGAGATGTGTCGCTTAGAAATACGTGTCTTTCGCATTTCTTTCTTTTTTCTCCCACAAGCATAAATGTATACTTCGAGACAAGGATCTATATTCGCTGTTATATCCTTCGCAATGTTTTTTTATCCATTTTATTACTGGTTCCTTACACGTTGGGATGGAAATGACGGGGTTGACGTTTAATGTTGAATAAAATATATTGGAATCCGAGTATTTATCATTGCGACGATCTCTCCTAAATCGTG